TTCTAAATATAGTTTGCGAATTTATAACTTTTATTTTAAAGTTATTAAATTTGTATTTTTTTTATCAACTTTAAACGATATTTATATTAATTTATTATTTCAGAATCTATCATTTAAATAATAACCTTTTACTCTTTATGAAAAATTAAAATGGTATATATACGACTGGTGGCATTCTCAGGGGGCTCAAAAAAATATAATTGATCTTATATTGAAACAAAAAGTTTTACACTATCCATCTTTTATATCAAAGAAATCAGGCTACTTCTACAAACTCATACACGTTTTATTATTTTTTGAGTTTGAACGTACCCTTATAACAAAATATTTTTAAAAAAAGAATTTGGGCTAAGTTAAATTCATTCATTGATTACTAAAATGCAATTTCATCACCCCCTTAAGGAATTGAAGTGTGCATCACGTATTTTTACTAATATATAGATCCCATACATTATATCTTATCGTTTATTATAGAGGACGTACCTTTATGTAGCCTCTGCTAGAATAGGAAAGAAGGGGTAAGGCACGGGTTATTTTATTTATTAATTCCGTTGCCAGTAGAATAGTGATGTTTAAATTTCATGTAATAATATAATATAATAATGTACCAAAAGATCCGATTTATTTATTTTTTTGTTTTTTCTTATATTTTTTTAAAAAGTCTTATGCTTTAATTGTTGGGAGTATGTCGATATCGTGTAACCCAAAGAAAAAATCTTGTTTACTGACGTCTAGAGTTGTTATAGATACAAAATAGGTAACGGTATCTGTATCTAGATATATTTATATAAAAAGTATTCCGGCTATAAAGATATTTATATTTAACTTTGATAGATATATTTTTAAATAATTTTGTTATACTTTTTTTTATAATAAATTATATTATAATATGTCTGAGATTATTTCATTAAATGAACTAACAGATATATTTTAACTTGCGCAATGAGCAACATCATGTTAAATTTTATGCTATAATTTATTTTATTTAAATTAATTTAAAAAAATATATATCATAATTTTATATAAATATTTATAGATAATCTCTGAAAAGAAATCAGTTATTAAATATTGAATTTATTTGGGCAATACTTAGATGATATAAATAATAAGTTTTGCTACTAATCAAATTTTGAATAATTATTTGAAAAATAAGCATCGAATTTTAATATATTTATTGATTAAACTAGAGCTCTGCAAAAGTAGTCTCGGCCCGTACCCGGTTCGGCCTTACTTTTTCAAAAAAATCGGGCTCTGACCGGGTCGGGCCTATTATTTTTAAAAAAAATTTGGGTCCATGCCTTAGAAATTTTTCAAAATATATCTTAATTTTTCAATTTTATATTGAATTTTTTATAAAAATATTTGATTATATTTATAGAAACTAGATGCTAATTTTGAGTAATTATAAAAATTAATTTCTATATTTAAATAAATTCGGGCTGGGTCGGGCCAATATAAATTTTTTTTTAAAAAAATCGAGTTCGGGCCGGGCCGGCAAAACTTTTAATAAAAATTTCGGGCCTGGCCGGGTTTGAAAAATTAGCACGAATCACTAGATTAAACCACTATAAAGTTATTCATTTTTCAATATAACAACAACTCTGCACTCATTGCCCCGTTATAGAGAGTTTAGTGTGGCTAAAAATTTTCAGGTAAACTGGAGTACCTTAAAACTTTTAGAATGTTTTGTTATTAAAATATATCAATTATTTATAATCATTTAATTATATCTATATATTGTATATGAATTTTTAAAATCTGACAATCATTATTTTAATAATATATTTATATATGGATGTGATATCAGATAAATAAATTTTTAGACCCATACGAAATTTAAATTTTAACAATAGAGTCCAAATTAAAAATTATGCACACCTTACATAAGTAGAATAAAAATTGTATCTGCCTCTTAGATGGATTTGTAAAAATATATGTGTATATAGATCGTTTTTCGAAGATGCAGACCTATATTTGTGTCTAGATCTGTTTGAAAAGTATTTTTTAACAACTGTTGTCACCTGTCCTAGTTCCAGTGATTGGGATCCTATGTATTTATCATCTTTCAATTGTATTACCTTATTATTATCATGTATATATTAGATATTTCATTAATATTATTATTGGTTCACATTTTCATTTTCATAATTCTTGACATTTATTTACTTACATTCATTGATATATCATTCTCATCATCATATTATTGGTACACTTTATTTATCAACATTTGCTTCGTCATCTATTATTATTGACATTGATGTTCTGGGTGAAGAGAAATGGATTTTCATTTCTTTCGTTTCCCATTCTAGTTTAGGCCATGTCTGAACATATAATTGTATTTTTTCTTTTTCTTTGTTTCCGCTGAGTGCCATGAACTCTTTAAATGATTGATTTATCAAGTCCATATACTTTAAACCAGGGACCTCGTTGGCTAGATACTAGCACCAATCTTGAAATATAGATTAGCATCTTTGTAAAAAATTAGTAATCAATTTTTAAATAATTAGCACCCAGTAATGATTTTACAAAATTTTCGGCGTATTTTAATTTAATATTTCCATATGGCATAATCATTTTATTATGATTTTCTTCCTCTCGTCTCAAGTAAAAACAAAATGTGGCAAAGACAAAAGATATTGTAGAAAAAAAAGTATGCAATCTATTATTTTATAAATGAAATAGAACCTAATATATAAAATACGTTAAGGTTATTTAAATTTAGTATATATTCATTTTTACGTTGATTTTTGAGTATACCAAAAATATAGTTATTTTTTGTATTGGGTCGAGATTTATAGATTATAACTTTTTAAGGATAACGTTAAGAGGCGTGATTAGTAGCTCTATTTTTGCCTCTTCCATAAGATGTGATTGATTTTGTCTAATATTTTAGAGTGATTAGGATGAGTGCACTGCCTTTGTAATCCTTAAGGCCCTTAGGATTTTTACATTTGGGGAAGTTTGATATTATCGAAATAATCGATTATCCTGGAAAATTATTTGTATTCCATATTATATTAAAGGGTGTATAGATTACGTGATTATAATGGCATGATTGATAAATATGACACCAAGCAAAAATTATAGATATCAAACGTATATTGATTTAATATAACAGGATTTAATGGATCTATTTTTTATATCGCACATGTTGTTTGGCATGTTAAATTTTTATACATCCATTTAATAAAATACAATCAAGAGATTTTTTTAAACATTAATTACAAAAGTAAATTTTAGTTTATATTTTTAAATTTTACGGTAATGTAAATAAAAATGATTAAATAAGAAACTACTATCTCTACTTTTGAATCTTTCTTTTGTGATAGCAATATTCAATAAAATTGGATTAATAGTATTACTGCCATATTTTATATTTTCCTTTAATTAATGACTTTATTGATAAGAATATAATAAAACATAAGCCAAATATATCATTATGATTGTAATTTAATTGTACTATTTTAACAAAAATATAAATAAACATCAGTATGTAGCGTATGCGCTATCTTATTTTTTAATATTATTTTAAAACCATATCTTCGATAGGAAATAACAAATAGATTTTTAGAATATGCATCAATAATAACTAATTGTAATTTATAAAATTATTAATAATGACTTTAATATAAAAAAAACATATAATGAATAATTGGTATAAATTTATAGTAATATAATATTTTTTCTCTAGAGAAATTTTTTTTGAGAATCATATTAAACAAACTTTATATTAAGAATATAGAGGTTTTTATTGAATATACAATCTTTTTGGCCTTTTTAACGTACAATCTGTATCTTACACTTTTTTAGTTTTTTCCCGTTGTGGTAGAAAACCACATGGCATCAGACTTATTCCTGCCAGTCCCTTGCTTGGCATTTTTAATGTATCGACCTTTTGCAAAATTTAAGATAGCCTGCAATTATTTCTTAGGCTCTTTCTAAGAGAAATAAGTATACAACTTAAGCTTACAGATATAATATCACTATTCACTTAGTTAGTGATGTTAAAAAGCCCTATTTGAGTCTATTTTTAAAATGGCCCTATTAAGATTATGTAAACCCATAGATTTTGCCAATAGATGGTAGAGAAATTTGGGCATCTATTTGTCTAATCTTGTTGTAATCGAGCTTTTTATAAAGATTAGTTATTCGAACCTAACTCTAGATTTAATGCCGTTCTCTAATTATAAATGTAGTGGGTAGTGTCTACATGAGCTGTGATGGGAGGGGGGAGGGGTAATTGCAGTTTGTTTCCAATTTTTTTAGGGGGTAGGCATATAGGATGGTAGGCTAGGGGTAGAATAAAAATATTGGAGCTTATCTATTAAATTTTTAAAAAAAATGGAGCAAAATATATTGCTGTATATAATTATTTAATACTTTTATTATATACCTTTCAGTCATTATTTTTCAGATAAAACTTATTACTGTATAATTTTCTGTTATCTTTTTAAATGTAATTTAAAAGGTTAGGTTGAGACATTCTATAGTTCATATTCATGCCAAAAAGTGTCCTATAATAATGCATTCATTGTAAATGAAGGGTTTTTAATTTAATTTATGTTATAAATAATAACCCTTTTACAATATTAGAGTATTGATAATTTAAGTTATTCTTTTTAAAATATATGACGTAGTACCATTATAATTAAAAACATGATTTATAATGTGGGAATAGAATACGTATCCTATTGTAGACTCTAGCACTAAGCAGAAAAATATAAAAATTATAAAATTTAGAGCATTAAGTAACATTTTTATTCTTGATAAGAAAATAATTAATATTAATATCTTCTAAAATGATTAATATGATTGACATAAATATTTAATATATGCCATTCAATATGTCAATTTGTAACAGCTACCAGCTGATCATATAATCTGACAATGGTATATTTAGGATGATCATGTAATAAAATTTTGCAGAAATGTCCTATGCCTTAAATTTATCTATATCGAAGAAAAAAGAATTAGTTCAACATTTAAATAATGAATTAGTTCTAACTGATTTAAAAGCCCAAGAATATAATTCACAAAAATTTTTGGAATTTTTAGATGATATTTTTTATAAATCATTTATAGATGATGCCAATTTTTTGCAAATGGTTCAAGTATTGTTTACAGGGGGAATGGATCTGAAAAATTTTAAAACTAAGTGTAATAGCTTATTTACCTTATCTTGAATTAAATTGCATATTAGTTAAAAAATATGATTTTACCAATGTTTGTGGTTTGGTTTGGAACATCAATTTTATAGCATACAGATGTAGAGATTGTGCTGTATCTCCTTGTATGTCTATTTGTCCTCAATGTTTTAAAGGTGGTATCCATGAAAGTCAAAATCATGATTATAATCTATTTAAAAGCCAGGCTGGGGGTGCTTGTGATTGTGGTGATATCAATGTTATGAAACCAAATGGGTATTTTCTTATATTTATATTATTGGATTTGGCATATAATAATGAAAATTAACATATTTAAAAAAAATTTTTTATAAACACCTTCAGGCTCAAAACTCGAAATAGTATAATTTTAAAAATTTGTGTTGGGGCTAAAAAAAATAAATAACCACATGAAAAATTGAATGTTTGATTATTGAACATTTACTTCTTTTATTTTTATATTCTCTTGAATCCCCAGGTTGACAGGCCTTAAGATTATTTTTAAGAATCATGACCAGGCTTAAAAACATTGATCCTAGATTATGCTTATGATTTATATATTTTAAATTTGAGTTATGCTTAAGAATTTTTCTAAAATTCAGACTGATTCTAAAAAAATTGATCTCTGCAGGTCTATGATTATTATTATTGTATCTTAAATATTTAGGGTTACCAGATCCTCAATAGAAATGAGGGTTAATTTGTTTTTTATATATAATAAGAAGATATGGAAGGATTTTTAAAAAAATTTAAATTAATTTTTTGAAATAAATAAAAGCAATCACTTATCCTGGATGGTGTCAGTAAGACATTCATGTGAAATCAGAATTACTCATTTACTGGGTTTCCTTTTATTAGATGTTGAACTTGTAAATTCAACTATTGAGAACCTCAAGATTAATTAAATATTCTAAATTTCCATTTAAATTCATATTAAAACCTATTATTTCTAATTCATTAGAATAATTTTGTCCCAAATTTAAAGGAGAACTAAAGATCCTGTCAAAATAACCATACTTTATACTTATTATATAATTCAATTGAAAATATTTTGAGGTAACTACATATGTTTATGCATTTTCTCCAGGTAATTAAATCTATTTAAAATCATCATGAATATTGCTCAACTATATTAACATTTCATTGGCCTCAGCTGATTATTGTTCTATATACATTTTTAAAATTTTTCAGGATACTTAAAATATATAATTCAATTGAAAATATTCAGAGGTAACTACAATATTTATTCATTTCCTCTAGCAAATTAAATGTATTTAAAATCATCATGAACATTGCTCAACTACACATACCATTGACCTCAATGATTATTTTAGTGTTCTATATCCATTTTAAAAAATTTTGAGAAGTATATATTTACATATCATGCTGTAATATTTCAAATAAAGAATTATTCTAAATTATATTTTAGCATTTTTATTAAAATAAAAAATACAGTGTATTGAAGAATTGATTTATTGGGAAAAAAACATTTTGCAAAAATGTGGATATAGATCACTATAATACTCAGCCAATGATATATTTCTTAGCCTTATAATTTATATATAGGTATTTTAAAATATTATATTGGATAGATAAACTAAATTATTTTATCTTGATGTTAAATTCGTATATTATGCACATTTAAAAAATATATTTTATATTCTTCACTTTCTTTCCTTTGGTTTTTTTATATAGAAATTAACATAAAACGAATTAAATTGTTTGCAGAAAAATGTGCTGATTTATTTCACAGATCATCTATTTCGTTCATTTTTCCAGACTCTTGATTAGAAAAAATATTCCTTTATGTTAGTATTATGAGATGGTATTGAAAAAATATCTAAAGTATGATTCGCAATTTATTGTGTTCTTCAGAGATTGTAATATCCATATTTTTAACCCATTTTGGCTAAGTGGAAATTTTGTGTTTCATCTATCTTTACGATCCGATATTACTAAAAAACCGATCCGATATTTATATTAATTTTTATTTACCATCTATTTTTATATCAATGCCCTAAAAATATCAATATATTATATTTTAATAAAACCCAATTAACTTTCACGAATGATTAAGTATATTATATTTTTATTCTTCAAAAGTTAATAATCTCATTTAAAATATTTGCAATGTTTGTGGATGAATTTAGTGTTTGGTAAACAGCTCCATTTAACCGATTCTTAAGAAAGGCTAAATCAAAATAATTTCGCCATTAGTCTGCCATCTATGGGCAAAATCAATAAGCTTGAGTAATTTACTTTTGGCTAAAATCTTGAGTTAATTGTTTTTTAAAATTGACGAAATCACGCTGTTTAGCAACACTAGCTTAATGCGACTCGTTAGATATTTTAAAATCCTTTTCTTGTTGCAGACAATTTTACAAAAAATTTTGTAAAATTTTAAATTATTTTGTTAAACATTACAACAAATATATTGTATTTTTGTTCTTTTTATTAATTTATTATAATGAAATTATTTATAAAATAAAATTATATGATTATATATACAATCAAAAAATAACCACAAACATTTAAAAAAAATACGGATCGATTTTTTAAAAAATATCGGGCCGATCCTTTATTTTTAAAAATGCTAAATATCTGTGCCCATCCGATATTTAATATCGGCACAGCCCTAATATTTTCTTGCATTTTTTTAAACCTTAAATATTGATAGATATATTATTAAAAAACTTAATATAATTTAATATAAAAAATATATAACGCAAACCCAATAACCAAAAATTATAATAACTGGTATTTATATAGGAAGGATGAAGACACTATAAATGATAGTATCCCTCCTCTTAATAACCCCATTTATTGGGTTTCTGTCACATCTACCTATTTTAACAATAATGACAGGGATTTTAAAAATGAATATGGATTTAACTGTGGTGGTTACGCGAATATTATTTTATTACAACTTAGAAAACTAAGAGATAATATCGAACCAATAATTTCACGAGATTTTGTGAATGTAGAGTGAAAGCGAGATTATTTGATTTTTAAATTCGCAATCCTCGACTTATACTTAGGCATTCAATCGTTCGGTTCGACTATTGACGTGCATTCAATTTAGGATTATTAAAGAATATTCCACTTTTGGATATTTTTTGAGTCAAATCGTGAACGATTTATGATTTATCAAATGGCTTTATCCAATTTAAAAATTTATTCTTATTTAAAAGAATATATTTAGAAATTCGTCTTAGGATATATTAAATCTTGGTAATGCATAAATATTTCGCTCAATTTTATTCATAGGATATAAATGTATCTGATGATTATGTCGGATGCAAATTAATTTCAGAATTTAAATCTTCATGAAAGATTAATTTAAATAAATAATCCTCCAAGAAACGTTATTGATACTTTAAAATATATATTGTAATTTTTTCTAAATCTATTAAAATTACTGTATATTTTGGTAGCAAACAAGTATAAATGAGAAGATTTTTTCTTCATTCCGGAGAATAAAAATTTATCTCAGATGTACAACATCAGAAAATCGATTGAAGGGACTAGTACTTATTATAGATTGAGATTTAATCCTCAATTACAAAACAAATTATTGAAATATTAACTCAATCGTATAAAAGATTAAATTTCCATTTATGAACGATTTTGATTAAATTTTTAAATCATCATATAAATGTTTAATTCTATATATTATTATGTTACATACCAGGTTATATAGCTACAATATTATATTCGCTCTTAAATATTTTGTATTTTCCAATATTTTATTATTTATGTTCATGGTAATATGTTAATATGATTGCTTCTAATAAATTATATATAATAATTTTAATAAATTTTTAATGTTTCAAAAAAAATCATATCAATATTTAAAAAAAATAAATTGTCCCCCCTTCCCCCCCCCTCTCCTAGAAAATTCTACTCTCCTGGCACCGATATTTAGCCCAATCCGATATTTTTATTTTTTTAGTTATTTTATGATTGTATTAATTTTTTTAATTTTATCAATAATTTCTTAATTTTAAATTAATGAAAGGAACTAAAATTACAATTTTTTTATAATGTATAAAAAAATAGTTAAAAATTTTATGCTGTTATATTATCTGTAACAAGAAAAGATTTTAAAATATCTAACGAGTCACACATTCAGCTAGGTGTTGTTAAACGGCTCGATTTAGCCAATTTTTACAAATGATGAACAAGATTTTGGAGTAAATTAGTCAGGCATATTGATTTTGCCCACCGATGGCACAATTGGACTTTTATTGGCGAAATATCGAGGTTTAGGTAATAATATTTTGGCTAAAATTTTAATTTAGTTTTTTAAAAAATCGGCCAAATGGAGCTGTTTAACAACACTACAAATATTTTAAAGGAGATTTAACTTTTGAAGAATTAAAAGAAAACAAAGTACACTTAATCACTCGTGAAAGTTAGTTGGTTTTTTTAAAAAAATATATAAGATATTGATATTTTTATGACATTGGTTCAAAGATGGTAAATAAATATCAATACAATATCGAATCGAATTTTTTTAGTAATCGATCGGTGAAAAATTTATGGATCGCCACAGCGTTAATATTTAAGTAAAATGAGAATATATATCGATATTTTTGACATCTCAAAAGAGGACTTCTGGTAACCCTTATACATATTTAACTAAATTTTTTAATTCAAACTTATCTATAATATATCACTAAAAATTTATGTTTAGTAATTATTCAATAATATATAAATTACATAAAAAGATTTTGCCACAACCATAATATCGAAAAAATAAGCCAGGCCCCCAAACCACCAGAAGATCTTTTGATAATGTTACGTTTGATGTCCCCTTATTTAGTTACTAAAATTTTGGCATTTTTTAGAGAATGTTGTCATCCAAGTAATATATATATTATTATTTTAATTGCTTAAAATTTTATACTATAAAACTGTTATGAATAATTATGACTTATATAAAGTGACCTTAGCATTGAGGATCATTGCTATAGATGGCGCAGGCTGGCTTGTCTTGAATCCCTCTGTAAAAAATTTTAATAGGGTATTTCGGCCTAACCTATAAAATAATTTTGTCAAAGTCTGTAATAATTTATATTATGAAATTTAACATAAATTTTCTTAATTCAAACTTTAAAAAAATTATGAACTTCCAGCTCAGCTTGTAAAATATTTTGCGCGAATTGTTTTGGGCTTCGAGTCACGCTGTGCTGACCTCAACGCCATAAAGCATGGGTTGATTTGGGGTGCCAAGAAAATTTCTATTTTTAGGGTGCCATAATTAGAATAAACATTTTTTCGAGTTGTGCCAAAAGAAGCATTTCAAAACTTAAATTAATATAAAAAAATGACACAAGAAACTCTTAATAATTTATCGATTGAAAGAATGAGATAGTAAACAAATTTATAAAAAGATAGAAAATTTTGCAAAAAAAAAGACAAAAAAATCTTTTAAAATTATCCTTGATTTAAATGTGATAAAATTCTATATTTTTTGGTGGGATAAATAAAGAGTATTTAAAAATTTAGTTATTTATTCTCAAATCTCTTGATGTATCCTAAACTTGAATTTTTCTTGAAAAGTTTCAGAATATGGAGTAAAAATAAAAATAATTTAATTATTTTATATCAGATAATGAAAACCTTCTAAAAGTATTATTTGGAACCTGAAAATTCATAAAATAAATCTTGCACTCGTTGAATTTCAAATTAATATTTCCTTTTCCTATTTATGACATATTTGGAAAATTAAATAATATTAAAAAATTATATGGGCGAGGTGGGAAAGTACATAATAGGTATTGATTGACTTTGTAAAAAAGATGTCGGGCCAGCCCTGATCACTCCAAGCTATGAACTTAATATCATGGACTACAGGTCTGGTCTGATTTTGTATTACAGGTTTAAAAAAATATTTAACCAATGCAGCTATATTGGGTAAAATTTGATCTTTAAATTTATTTTACAACTTTTTCCCCTCGACTTTTATTTTTTCATTCTGATCTTGATTATTTTTCTGGCTTCACCATATTTTCAATAAATTAATCTTAAGACTAACCACTAAAATTAGTTCCTAGACTTGCATATATTTGTTAATACACCTACATTTGGTATTATCTAAAGTCAATCATATACTCTTAGAACTCATTCTTAATGCACCGACTTCAATATGATTTAGATCAATAATCAGATGTGCACCGATATCACCTTTTTAGCCGATTCTATTACCCAAACCGATACCAAAAATAATAATGTAGTTAGTATTTATATTTATTGTCTATGTTAGCGACAATATGTTACTTACTTAATTTTAAATCATTTTGAGCGCGTTTTTTTAAATTTAATTTTACCGGAAATTTATTTTAGCATGTTTAGAATATTTATTTTATGAAATGTAGACAATTTTGCCTTTAACCTTTGAGTCATTTATAATTTTTAAAAAAATTTATGGAAAAACTAATATAAATTATATTAAGCTCAAAAGTTCATGGCAAAATTGCCTAAGTTTATAGGGTAGGTATTCTAAACATGTAGGAATATATTTTCAGTATCAGATTTTTAAATTAAAAAAAACCTCTTAAAAAATGATTTAAAGTTGGAAAAAATAACATATAGCCTCTAACATAGATATAATTATCAATATTAGCATTTTTTCAAATTTATTTGTAATTAATTTATGAAATTCTTAAAAATGAAAAGAATGGAGAAAAAAAGATTATAATTTTTTTTATAAATTTTTATATAATGTTGATTATATGAAGATTAAATATCGATTTATACCTACCGATACCGTGATTATTGGCTCAATGGTGCATCTATGTCAGAAATATTGATAACTTGCTTGCTAAATTATATAAAAATATAATTTCTAATCATAATTTAAGTTATAAAAATTAACTAATTTTATTTGATTTAATTATCTATCAATTTATTAAAAATTTTGGACACGCATGGAAAATTAATTACAATATGCTTATTTCTCTGTGTTTTAAGAGCTGAACTAAAAATTTAAATAATATAGTAAATTTACAAATACAAACATAATTGATTTATAAAACTGTTATTGTAGAAAGAAAAGATAGTCATATAGGAGATTAAAAAATGTCATGATAGGAAAATAATAAACAATTTTAAAAAGAAAATTAAATGCGATTCAAAAAATCAACCACAAATTTTTTTTTGAACATGATTGCATTATGTAAATTTTTGTTAGGAACCTGTTCAGATTCCTGACGATTTTAAAAATTCTGGTACCCTATAAATTTTGGGAGAGGGTGGTCGCTACATTTGTTCTAGTATGAACGGAGGAGTAATTTGTTTACATGTAATATTTAGCGGGTAGGAGTTAAATCTCAGCCTGTTGCCTCGTAAATATCTTCTCTTCTCGAAAACGCTGTCTACAATACCTATGAGGTTATGCGGGGACTTATTAGTTCCTTCATTCTTTAACCATAAATAATAACAGCGGTTTAATCAAACCTTACATTTTCATTTTTGCACTCATTATCTCTTGCCCCCTTAATATACAAAATATAGTACTAGAGAGTATAATAATTTTTTAAATTTATATTTCTTTTAAATACAAAGAATGAAATAAATGGAAAATCGCGTTATTAAAATATTTTAAAATATAATGTCTCATTTTAGATGGAGAATTCAATTTAGAGGATTTACCCTTGTGTTACCCTTACATAGAATTTCTTTCGAGTATGATAAACACAGCAGCTCCTATCAAGGCGATAATCGCCGAAGACTTGATCAGCGGAAAGATTTACGAAGATTTTGTTAAGAGTAAACATCTTACCGCTTTAATTTTTTTATTGCTATTTTTTTAATAATTTTTTTCTTCTCTTTTTAATCGAACGTAGAACTATTTTTCTGTCTTCTCTTTTTTCCATTCTTTTTATATTAATCACATTTTATCTCTGTAGATACCTCTCATTCCAAAAACCTAAATATCGAGCAAAACATTGACGAGCTAGATAGGCTTGGAGAGGTTTTGAATGTTCATAATACTAAAAATTCTTTAACCAATCTCCCCTACAACTCAAACAAAAATATCGAAAACTCGGGAACCCGTTTTTACAGAACCATATTCGTCGAAAATCGCCAAAAATATCTTCAGGCTTGCCACAATCTAGGAACTGATCCCGAGGGAGTTCAAATGTGCCAATCTATCGGTTAATATATTTAAATTATTTTCGATTTCATTATTTACGAATATTTGCTTAAAACGAAAACTAACATAATTAGGAATATGGTATAGATTAGCAAAAAAAAATTTAAAAAATTATAATGGGTTGGGAAATTCGTGCATAAAAAGATCTTTAATTTCTCCCTAATCATTAAAACTAACTTAAAAAGATGCTCGGATTTTTTTTAAAAATTATATTTTAAGACGTCTGCGATAAATCAACCTTAAAATTTTTTTCACATTCCACGGTGCTGGACGAATTAATGATGTGGATTTTCTCTACCGAACTCCCGCAAACTTTGGTAACTTTCGTGTTGCAAATGCTCAATTTGACTGACCCAAAAGGTTAAATTTTTTAGAGTACTTTTATTAACTTTTTTATAAATTTATAAAATGCTAAAAATAAGATACAACTTTACGAAAGAAGGAAATTATAATTAACTGGACACTAATCAATTGAATTTACGTTTTAAAACCAGTGAACAATAAAATTGATTATTTTAGAACTTTACCGCAAAAAACTTTAAAAAAAGTATATTATCTGAAAATATTTTTAAGCGCTCATAAAAAACAGTGGCGAAAAGCGAAAAGATTACAAGACATCTTTCGCGGAATCGGTTGTCAAGCATTACAGCTGCTTACCCAGAGTGCTCATGAGGTGTCTCGCACCTGACTTGGTATCTTCAAGATTGGTAACGTAATATATATTGTTTTTTAGAGGGAGAGAAAGGGTTTTAGTTATTTGTTGGAAATTGATAAGGTATTAAGTTGGGAGTTCGAATAGAGATGACTAGAGAAATAAATCATATAATAAATGAAATATGGGGAAAGAATGTAAGAGAAGCGAGTAACCGAAAATTTTTTAAAGGAAGAAAGAAAAAGGCATTTAACTTTAACACGTTATATTTCTAATTGTTTGATTTTATGTAAATTTTTACGATATTAATTCAAAGTTTCATATAAGTGTCCAATTGTTTAGCAACGCTTCGCTCGCCTACAAAATGGTATCAGGAGAGGGGAATCTCCTTACGTTGAGTATTAACAGCCTGAATCTTTTGATCTTGCCAATATTAATCCCCCAAGGTTAAAAAAATAATATTTTTAAGAATATATCATAATTTTTGATTTAATTTAGGGTCATTTATAGAAAGTAGATATCTGTAATGCCCGGTCCGATACATGTAAAAAATTGGGACAGGGACAAGCTAGGGGAAATCTAAATCCGGGCCAGGCCAGACTGGACTTAAAAATTTTTCTATCTGCAGATCTCTAATAGAAAGAAATACTAATTTTATCCATATTTTGTTTCATCAACCGATATCATTGAAAAATAACTACATTTAAAAGTTATTTAAAAAATAAGAATGATGGGTATAATATTAAGCCTATGCCGATCCAGAAATTTTTCACAGATCCGATTTGAATCAATGTAATAAAAAAAATATTTTCTATACAAAAAATAATAACTGAACTATGAGCGAAACGGGAAACTTTGAAATTATATGTTTCCCACGACAAATTTATTGTTGTGTTATTAAAAGGACCGATTATTTTTATAAACGGATATAATATGAATTTAGCAAAAATAATATTATGTAATCTTCTAGATTTGGCAAATAAAGGTCCAAACTTTCCCGCCATCTATGAGCAAAATTTCGAAGCTTACATTATATTATTTTGGCTAAAATCTTTAAGGCCCGTTTTTAAAAATCTACCTAAATCTAGTTTTTTTTAACACAACTAATTATCACAAATGACTAAGTATTTTTTTCTTCTTCTATACTTCAAACGTTAATACTCATTTAAAATATGGGCATTCTTATTCTTTTTAAAATAAATTTTTTAAAAAAATTTAATTGTATTAAATATTTTTCTCGACCCTAATATAAATTTATACCTAAAGCAAATTATTCTATTTGATTCGATTCATATTTTACGAATATTTCTATTCAAAAATTTGAATCGAATACTAATGAGGGAGGTATATTATTTGTCGAATAATTTTTTATTCATTATTCTATCCAATTATTCGTATTATTTGGTTTTTTCATATTATTCAAAATTTATCAATTCTTCTTCTCCGTTTAATGACGATTTCCAGGTTGGCCAGTTATTCCTTTGATTTTTCTTTTCATTTAATTATTCGAAACTATTCGTAAAATTAAAACTTTTTTATAAATATTTAACATATTCCTTAGGAACATTTTATTTTTTTAATTTACTCACTTTTTAAATTTTAATCATCTAATTTTTGCGAAAATCTATTGAGCAAAAATATTTGAAATATTTTTAAAGAAATCAAATTTTACCTAATACTCAAAATTTGTATAGTAAAAAAATCTTTTATAAGTAAACAAACTTTTATTTATGCACAAGAAATTACAAATTTTTTAAATGTTTAAAGATCCATTCGAAAATTTTTCAGGATTTTTTATAATACTTTGATTTTTTTCATTTTATAAATATTTTTAAAAAATTTAATTTTCGAATCGAATTTAGTATTCGACGAATCAAATTGAATTGAGTATTCGACGAATCAAATCGAATAATTTTTTTATTATTCGTACGAATACAAATAAGGAATTATTCGTTTCATTCGAATACGATTAATACAATTATTTAGTGTTGTAAAAGAACGCGTTCGTGAACGAAGTTCGTTTTTTTTGAAAAAAATTATGAACGACCTTCCTTTTATTTTTGACGAACATGAACGCGTTCCCTTTTTTTGACGAACACGTTTGTTTTTTACTTTCGTTCAATTTTAGAAAATCTTCTTATTTTTATTCATTCGAAAATAAAAAATGCTAATTTTATATATTGAAAATTAATATGAAAATTAATAAAAAAAATTATTTTTAATAATAAAGATATTTTTTATTGACTTAAAACTTTTAATTTTAAACATGGCTAATATATTGTGTTAAAAAATATATGGTATTTATTTATATTAAATTAAATATTAAGTGAAATTAAGAAAAATAATTTATTCAGAAAGTTTTGAACGCCCTTTTTTTGAATTTGAACGTGAACGCGTTCGATTTTTACCAATGAACGTTGAATGCGAACTCGTTCTATTTTATTTGGAAATGTTTACATCACTACAGTTATTTGATTCGATTAGTATTTTTGTAGGTTAATAAATTTTAACTATAAAATTATATAATAACAAAAACCAATTTGATAATAATGGATCAATTTTCTTATAAAAAAATTATAAGTCCGATCCGGTTTATAGAAAAAACGGTCACCAACTGGGCTCGAGATATTTAATATTTGCCCTATTTAAAATACTATACAATAAAACTCTTGAAATCAAACATTCAATTAAATCTTGCAATAATTAATTATGATTATTTTTAAACCATATATTTTTTTTAAAGACTGATTGTATAACGAGTTTTATTGTATTTTTGTATAACGAGTTTTATTGTATTTTATAAGGTTTTTTAATAATCCATTAGAGAAATTTTAACATTCATATATTACCCATCTAAATATGAACCTCGATCTAAAACATTTGTTTAATACAGTCAAAATTTAACATTTATTTTTATGCATAAAAAGAATATTATAAAAAATCCAACGTTCTTATTATTAGGTGACGACAACAAAATTAAAAATCTTCACGTAGCTGTTGATTGTTCGCACAAAATCATGCAAAGTCATTGCTACTGGCCAGTAGTTTCGGATTTGATCACTCTTTTGTCCCATGCACGCATAACACTTTACATGTTAACGGATAAGTATTTGAGTGCGCTATGGACACACGTTCTCTACTCCTTTCAAGGTTAATAGGAGGAAAAGGAAGGGGGGGGGGCAAAATAAAAGAAATAAATAAATACAGGTAGGAAAGGAAGAAAAATAGAAAATACTTAATATACAGAATTAAATGTTACCAATCAGTTTTATTTTTCTGAACATGCAAGGTATGAACGTGAACAAGCGCGAAAAACACAACCATCTTGAGTTTGAACCTCGAACCTATTACGTTGCCTTTTCTTCAGAAATCGAAGTATGTTCTTCGACTCTTCAAGCCTTGTTATGCCATCTGAAGATTGGAAATTTTATCATTGATCTAAATGGTATATTTTTAATGGGCTAAAAAAAATTTAATTTACATTTATCCATGAATATATTTAAAAATAAAATAAAGCTATTAAAATATATAATACATAGTTCTTTTAAAAAGTAAATGAAAATAGATTTTACAACAAGGCAAAAGCTATACACAATATTACCTAAACCTGGGGATTTCACTGAAAGAGGACTAAACTTTTCTGCCACCATTTGACGAAATCTCGAGGCTTAGGTAATATTTTTTGGCTAAAATCTCGACTCTTTAAAAATAGGTTAGGTTTTTAACACTAGTACAAATTACATATTTTTTATTTGTAAGATTCAAATATCTCAGCCACAAGTGATGAAACATCTGTAAAATTCGTTCATTTCGCTACACTTCTGGGAAACGTTTTAATTAGCCTTCAGGACTGGTTTGAAGTTGTTGGCTTAGGGGTCAACGAAATGGTATTTTGCTTGATAACACATATACAAAGGAATAAAAGTGAAGTGGTGGAGAAGAGAAATAAGTAAATGAAGAGAAGGAAAATAAGAAATAAAAGAATAGAATAGAATAGAAAAACGGAAAGATGATTAAAGAAAGAAATGCAAATAAAATTTTTTTTTTTTAAATGAACAAATATTTACAGGTAAGTCGAGACGAGGTGACTTTTCACCTTCCTCTCCATCGTTACCTTGCCCTTATACTCTCATATGGTGTGAGGTATTTTCATATGACTTGCACCGACCTAATGGATATATTAGGAAGCGTTCATCCATCTATTCCCTTGAAGGATTACGTTAGGCACCTAATTAAGCATCCCCTCAGGATTCAGGTAAACATTATAGTAGCAAGAAGTGTATATCACTATCGCCTAATTTTAGTGTTCCTCTTTTAAACTTAGTAAATACCTTGTTAACTCTGAAAAATTGATAAATGTAAGCAGGATATTTTTTCTTTATCTAGATTCTGTTGTCATTCATTAATCTTAAAAAACAATTAGAATTTCTCTCGATCGCACGAATTCTTCTTTATCGTACCATCTCTGGCTCTTATCTTAAAATCGCGAATCACCAGCGTCTCTTCCTTTTCATTCCAATTATCTAAACAACTTTATTCTATTCCTCGTCTTTTCCTTTATATCCGCAACCCATATTTCTTAATATGTCTTTTTTAGATTTCTTCAAAATCTATTTCAATATCCTATCCCTATATGTCTCCAAATGTTTAATTGGTATACCTAAAAGATTAAATGACCAAATCTGTTGTTGAAGTCCTTTATATTATTATCAATAACCCATCAAAGGCATATGTTGTATATAAATTATCCTATCGTCGGTCACATTCAAAACCTATTAAATGACTTTTAAAATATTCAAGGAGAGATCAAATACATTAAATTTTTCATTTTAACAAGATCATTTGATAACATAGCTTTAAATATTCTATGTGTATTGCCTCAATCTTTTTCATAAAATTTATTTCATTATTAAACTGTAGGCATATTCGGAGCATGAAATAAAAAAAACATATTTCTAATATATTAAGATTCGAACTTTTTACTGGTCATAAAGAACCTATAAATTGACACATTTCTGCAAAACGTCTTTTGAAAAGATCGTGATATATAACCGTCTGTTTAATTTTATTATTTCATAGCATATAAATTAGAGTATTACAAAATTGATTCTTTGAATTTGCCCGAGCCCACCCATTGTACTAAGATAAAATCCTTAAACTCAGGCCTTGCTTTATCATATCGCCATTAAATATTAAAATTATATTGCCGGAATAATTAATTTATTTCCTTATTCAATGAACAAACTACCTTTCTTTCATCTAAAATTATCATGAATTTAAATATTTGATTAAATTTAAAACATATAATGATGGAATAAAATTTTTATAATATATATATTAATTTTTTTTATTCGTATTGGTAAGATTTTTGAAAATCTACTTTACTAATAGAGTATATTTTAAAAAAAAATATTTTATAACCTTTTAGTTATTCAACTATACTATAGCTACAAGCCTGTTGTAATAAGCCTAAAATAATCTAGGTTTTTAAATAATGTTTGCATTGCATTTTAGTATACAAAAAGCAAGAAAAAATGAAAGAAATATTATAATTGAAACGAAATTAAACTAAAATCAATAATGAATATTGTTTATTTAAAAAAAATATATATAATGTATTATGAAATAAAAAATGAATTTAAAATATACTCCATATTCGATTTATGCAGGCATGGCGGTCTGGATTTTTCAATAGCTTATTAATTTTGGTTAAGCAGTATATAGATTTAGTTAACATTTGTTGAATGCCTTTTGTTATACAAATAATCAATTTTGATCTGTGCAAAAATTTTTGAAAGGCTATTATTTCAATATAAAGGGGGATCTTGAGCTAGAAATTTTTTAATTTGTTATATTAATGATTAAAATAAAGATTATTATTTATTTTAGGTTTAGATTATTTATTTTAAATCCTTATAAAATTGTTATTGGATCCAATTTTAAAATAATTCTCATATTAGATAGATGAATGTTTTTTTTAAATTATATTTTATAAATATTATGAAAACAATTTAATTAATAACTGATATATTACAGTTAAATTTGGGTCTGTATTCGCCCCACGAATGCTTTTGCGTTAGTTTCTGCTAATTTTAGGAAAAAAAATATTTAATATTTTTCAAATAATTTATTAATTCTAAATAAATACCCTGATTTTTATTATCTTTTGACTGATATCCAATAATCCTTAGGTTAGCCCTCTGTTAAATATTTTCTTTGTCAAAGTTGCTCCTTTTAAGCATCTTCCGAATCAATAAATATACTCATAGAGTTCTGTATCCATTTTTTAATGCTTGATACCTTTCCTGACTTCTACCTCTGTGAAGTATAAACATTGTTCTAAAAACATAATATTAATCAGCAACCCGGAGCTAGCTGAACCGCTTAAACATGATAAATCTATATATCAAAATTATGAAAGAAACAAACCTAACCGTTATAATTCTTTGAAACTGAAAATGTTTAGACATATTTAATGTAAATATGTTAAAAGATTTTAATCATTTAAATTTTTTTAGAATTAGTTATCCCGAAAGACTATAATCGTTATATAGTCAATCATTATAAATTAAGATGATTTATTTGTTCCCTCTTTTTCGTTTTTAATTAACCTTAATTTCTTTACGTCTATATTATTTGTACATTCGTTTTAATATTCGTTAACTCCTTTTTAAATTCAATTACCTTTCATAATAATTAAACCTTAACCAACCTGTCTAAAATAATATATAGCAATAAAATAAATAAGCCAGCTAATTTCAATCCTAAAATAGAATATTTCCCATCAAGATTGATGAAAGATAAAATTGTTTTCCATTAAAATTACTATCCTAAATTCTTATAAATGTTGAAAATTAAAAATTTATTTTGCAGTTGCATTGCTTGATTAGCGTTATATTAAGAATTGTTTGAAATTTACTTACCAATAACTGTTGGTAAATTCTACCTTTTTAAAATAATGACTATTTTTATATTAAATTTAGGTAATGAAATTAAAAATATTAAATCTCTACCTAATCGTTTTGAATCTGTGATATTTAACAGTATAAACGCATTTAATTTCGCGCGATATGATATAGGCCATGAAATTATAACAGAATTTAATTTATTGTCATGCACAAACAATACACATGTCAAGCTTAAAATTATATTAAATCCACAGCTTATTTCATGGATTATAGATTTCATTCTTTTGGGGGGGGTGTGACATAAACAAAAAAAAGAGTACTAATTTTTTCTAGGCGGCTCTCAATGAGATAAACGCAGGTCTATGGGTCCGCAATGGTATTCAAATGAAAGGGCAAGTCATGACTTACATGCAAAACGCTTTCAACCACTCTATGGCTTACCCGGATATCTTTATCCTACAAGTAATTTACTCTCCGCTAATTATTCATATATTATTCCGATAATATTTAATTAATTCATTTTCCGGTTGCTCCCCACTTTCCTCTCTAGTATCATCTCCGTTATTTTAATTAAAATATTTCCCACTTATTTATTCTTTACTGGAGTGTATTTTCCTGCGTTATTTTTTTAAATATAACTTATTATTTAAATGCCTTAACTTGAACATCAACATATATGATTATAAGACTTGCGTCATATCCGCCAATCTTAACATCTCAGAACAAAATATTTCTACTTTATCGCATATACTTTACCGCGGACATATGATAAATCAAAAAATTTTGAGACTCATTTTAAAAAAATATATAAACATAGCTTATACATGTTTATTGGTGAAGTCTGTGAAATTGCATTTGCGATAATGAATTCATGGACATTTACAGTATTCAAATATTTGCGGAAATGACCTGGTATACTGGGCGGCTTAAAATGTGACATTTTTAAATTCATTTCGGTTGATTTGTTAGGCAGAAATCTTTTCATTTCTAATGTTTTATAAATTTATTTCTCATCTTGATGTTAAATAGACTCCACCCCAACCTCCTTTAGATACCGGCTAGGACCCGGCTTTATTGGTTGTTGGCAGATCTGATGGTATATTTTGATAGATTACTTTGTTGAGATAACTCCTAAGACTGAAACGATTCTCTTTGGTTTTATATGCTAGCTGTTTAAGTTCCTTTTAATGAGTTGGTGTTTTCAGTTGTTTTAGCTATTGGCAGATCTTTCTCCTTCCTAATTCTCTGAACAATACTATTGCTTGAGATGCCTATGCATGACTTTCATGATTATTTTATTTTACGATTCACGGGCACAGGGTTTATTTTCTTTAGATAGCGAATGTTCCTTCCACATAGGCTCCCTTTAGTCATTCACTATGTATTCGAAATATTGAGACACAAACCTGTAATCGTTTAACTATTCTTTTACCACACAAGTCGTTCGCCGTTTACCAAAATTATTATGGTGGAATAAGATTGCTATATCTAGGATATTTGCAATATAAATCATCTGCCTTTTCTCAAAATAATGGAGAATAAAATATCATTTCTATTTTTGCCCATTTTTTTGCCTAAATAATTTTTCGAACTGAATAATAATAAAAAATTATCCACATCCATTTTGTTTATTTCAGACCTCGAAAGGATAAATTTAGGAACCAGAACATGGAAACCTTGGGACCGCATCAAATCTAAGATCCAGAATAAGAGTCTTTTTTGACATTTTTAGAAATCCTAACTAGGACTTTTTCTCCGTTTTGGTGATTTTTAGTTTCCCCTCCGATTTTTCTTTTCCATTTTTGACGGTCCTGAGCATCATTGTAAAATTCATTTTCCTCATATCCGCCGCTATCATCCACGTCATCTTAGGCCTTCCTCGAGATCTTGATCCCCCTACTTCCATCAAGGTGCATCTCTTTACCCAGTCATCTTTTATCTTACGTCCCATATACCCAAACCATCTTATAGAACTACATTTTATTAAATATTTGGCGCCATAAACCGAACCATTTTTTAGGTTCCAAACTGGTATATTTGATGGACCAGCCATATATAACTTTTTATGTGGAAATCGAATAAAGCTTGAAAATTAAAAATGTTTACACATTTTTTAGTGTAAAAAAATAATATACATAAGAATTATACAGTTTTTGTATTTTATGATTATTAGCGGTTCTACTGGTTCCATTTTTTTTTAAAAGATACAAAAATTTGTGATTTACCTACTTTAAAAATATTTGTTATAATTTTAAAATATTTAGAAAATATAAATCTAATTTATTTATATTTATTTTTTTATTTAATAAAATATAAAATTATAGATTTGTGCTTGCTTCATTCCCGCCGACGAATTCATGGATATTTTATTCACTTAGTATAGCTATGATTTATATATGCAATTTTAAGAAAGAGGTGTCTAATGAAGGAACATTGTTTTTATGGTTAATTTTGAATATAACCTGATCATTATGCACAGCTTTTTTTATTGCAACATTTTGATGAAAATGAATAAAGATATATGATTTCTGGAAGCTATACAGAAAGATCAAGGCTGCATTCTATCTTGTCTTATTATTTTTCTTAATTCTGAATAGAGCATCAAAAAAAGCTGCTTGAATACTCTTTTTTGCTTTGTTTATTAGTCTACTTATTATTTTTACCTTAAAAAATCATAGACAATTATTTATAATTCTAAAAAGAAAGATGATCTAGGAAAATGCTTAATCATGGGTGGATTTAAGGGATCTTTGGATACTTTTCCAAGTTGCGCCTTTCGAGCGTCTCACTGTTTAATAAATACCATTATTGAGCTGTGAGGCAAGTCGGCCATTTCACTCCTGACTTTAACCTTGGTAGGTAGGGTACTGATACTTTCCCTTCAAGGTGAGACATAATTTTGGGGGAAAAAGAAAGACAGAAAGAATGAATGAATTTTTTTTAAATGTGAAAAGTGTTAACATAAATTAAGTACTAATTGTTTTAACCTGAATTAAATCAAATGGGTCATTAAGCAAGGCTCTATTTATTTTTTTGCTTAATATCTAAATAGATATTTGGGTGTAATATAACAAATAGTATATAAAAGGAATGTTTCTTTTATTAAAGCTACAACGTTAACAAATTGTTTCCCCTTTGGTGCAATTCCAACATTACGCTCACAGATTACAAAATGATTGAAGGGCTGTTGGTACTCATATCTACTCTCCTAACCTTTAGGGACATGATAAGTAATAATTCCTCTTCTAACCATTTTAAATATAATATAAACTTTTATTGGGTTCTCAGATTTTAATTTTAGTCACAGTCTCTTGTAACATTTTACTCTATTTACTTGAATTTTTTCCAATCTTTTATGCAATATATATCTCTATGATATTCTTCTATGGTGAAATTGATAAGGGTTTGTATTTTGTATGTTATTATAAGTGTATTCGCATTCAGAAAGAAAATTAAGGAAAGAAATTAAGTACAATTTTTAAATACAATAATAAGAAATGATTATAGTTTGGTAATGTGGCTAAATGTTGGCTAATTCATCTCAATCTACAGGCGCTTGCCGGAGAAAATCCGTTAACTTTAAGGCGTTACAATTTTATTAGTTTCTTTCATATTTGAGCTGCTATATTTTTAAGAAAAATCCCGAGGCCAGTATGATAGTTTTCTATAAAAATTCGGTTTCGCCGGCTAAAAATTGGCGTAAGCAGCTAAATATATAGTAATTACCCAATTATAGTGACAACAGATCGAAAATGGAGAATGTTATAGGTTACAAGTTAAAAAAATATTTTAAATGATATTTTTTAAGGTCCGGACGAATGCATTACCATGAAGGGCGATATGGTATCCCTATTATCCAAATCTGAACCTTCCCATAGTCAACTGATCGAATTGACGCCTGATAAATCTGCTTTCATCATAGTTAATTCTCGGGGAAGCGAATTATTTAGGAAATTTTTGAACGAAGTTAAACCTATTTTTGATTTTTATTTTGACAGTGATTAGAAGAGTCTTCTTTTATTTATAAGCGATACCCTGATTTTTTTTAAAAATATATATCCTCCTTTATTATTAATAATGAAGATCGCGGAATACAGACCTCCTAACCTAGAAATGGGTGGAGAAATATCGCAAGGGTCCTACTTACCTAAAGGTATACCAAATCAATTATATATTATATTTATTTTTGAAAAGTAACGGCTTATTATGAACAGCCTTCTATTTTATAAATTATAAAAATAATTTTATTCCATTTTGTTTCATTAACAAAATTAAAGCAATCGTTTGGCGAGATTTATACGATCCGCTAAAGTTGATGATGGGTGATGTGAGCCGAAAGGATTACCAAACTAGCATGAATAAATATAAGGAATTGTAAGTTGGAACCATATTTTGTGAAGTAATGATACAAAACGTCGAATGGATAACATCATAAATTACCCTCACATACAACAAAATGGCAGGTGTGGTTGAGGAAGCAACCCTGAACTTTGAGAGTAGCAAGTTATTTTGACTTAGATTCGAGCGATTGTTTTTTTAGACCAACCTCCTTAGACAGGTAGCTTAGGAAAATAATTAGGGTTAATTATATTAAAAAACACGTAGGTGTTGACCGACGTTATGTATCATTACCAATACCAAATTAAATACGTTACCTATATGAGGAAATAGATAATTGAATATGATTGTTATATTTTTTTATCATGTTTGTTTGAGGAAAAGGTTAATAAATTGAAAGGGTTAGGGGGGGGGATGATTTAATCTATCTAAATTACCAGTGAATTTTTTTTTACAAATATAGCCTCAAATGGAACTATAACAACAAATTGAGTTCAGATACAATCGAGAAAATATGGCCACCATTCCGATTGCCGAATTATTTGAAAAAAGATACCTCCTGTCGTAACACTAAATTATTCGATTTCGTGCTACCCAACTTGTTGCGTTCTTCAAAATTTGATCTCCTATTGGTGAATGTGCTTTACGATGTAAGTTCTTAAGCCACCGCCAATTTTTTTCTGGCGATATTTTTTATATAAAAAAATATTTCAATGTCTGCTATAAGATTGATAAGAATGTCATGAACTCGTTTAATTTTATATTGTTGGATCTAGGTGGATATTATTTCTGAGAGTTGGTTTTCGACTTATTCCTTTTTTTTATGATCAAATTTGATTATGCATATTGTAATTTTTAAATCCTAAGGCTAAATTTATGCCAATTTTTTATAGTTTTGGTATTTTATTTTTATTAGACGATTAAATAGACTTTCGGTTACATGGTTTTAAGGAATGGATCAACGATTATTAATAATAATTATTTGACCATATACTCTTGTATTTTCTTCACATGGCAACAACGATTTTTAAAAGCTTCTTATACCTTTTAGGACTGCGATTTTTCTCTAAACCATGCCATAGCATTTTTAAGGAGGTATATATAGAGATACACTATTCTTGTAGTCAGAATTAGCCGATGCCGATATGTAACTTTTTAAGGCTAGGAAGATTTTTGCCGATTCTTATATGTAGATTTTACATCGAAAAGTATTATTTCAAAAATAAAGTAGATTATTTCAAACTTGTAAACTATCATTTTCAATTTAAAGTTATAAAATTATTTTGGCGATATTTGTACTTAGTTACCGAAATTCTCGCAAAATAAAAATTTTTTAAAGAATTTTTTTTCCCAAAATTTTAAGTTGGGTTTTTAAGGAGATCAGAATAATTTTTTATTAAAATTTGTGATTTCATCATGAAATATTATTTATGCATAAAAATAATAAAAGATTTACTTATATAAGATTTTTTTTACAATAAATATTTTGATATAAAAATACTTTGATAATTAAACAATCATCAAAAAATAATTTAAAAATATAGATTTTTTATGATGAAATTTTATTTTAAATAAATAAAAATTATCTCAAATAAAATTAGTTTTTTTTTATTTGGCAATTTATCTACTCAACCGTAATATGTAACCTTATATGCAAGATCGTTTTTATAAAAAAAATTCCATCAAAAAAAGAAGGGAAAAGAAGAAGAAGGAATAAGAATAAAAATGCTTAAAAATATATTAAATTTTACAAACAAATTCATTATATATTTTTTTTAACACACAAACAAAAGTATATAAAAAATAAAGATAGAACGCCCGAAATTGTGTTACAATTGGCCGTTTACTTATTGGGAATTAAGCTAAGCGTCCCTATTACTACCGATCAGGATATCAAATCTCTCAATGAAGAACCATTAATATCGGTAATCATTTTTATTTATATTTTTTAGAAAAATTAATATTTTGTCTTTTTTCCTCCTATATTATAATCACATATTTAAATAAAATTAGATCATTTTGGGCTAGTAATCCAAAAATAAATATAAAATTTTAGCCCAAATGATAGTGGAAAAATTAGGTAATACGATTTACAAATGATTTATAAATCTTAATTAATTTCCGATTATTACGATTTTTTCTATTCTCCTTTTTGTAGGCTCCTTCAATATTTCTTTCCACTTTCGGTTATTTAATTTATATTTGGTGATGCTGTTTGAAATCACAATTCGAAATTTGAATTTACTCTTTCCTATACATATATAAAATAAACAGAATATGGGGGCTTCCTCTCACCACGAGTCATCTAAACATTATATACCGACTAAAACCGTAAATGACAATGAATCGGCCTTTGAAAATGCTGACCATATTTCCCTCGAAAAAGGAACGGATAGTGATGACGAAGGCAGAAAAGTAAATCGATTCGACATTCCCACCCTGACCCAATTACTAATGTACAGACCTACCCCGGTTAAATTTAACCAAGTTTACGCCAAAGATTTCTCATACGAGCTCGAACTCGCTAAGAATTACTCCAGAAAGGAGTCCCCCGAAAATTCTGCGAAGAGGGAGGGATCATTTGAAGTTTCTAATGGCTCTAACAGTGCCAAATCACTCTTAAACACCAATATAAAGTTAAGATCGGTTTTGCTCTCAAAATTCGCTTCTTTAGCCTCACTCCCTTCTGGTTCAAAAAACTATAATAATAATAATAATAAAATTTTCAACGAAACAAAATGCGATGATTTAATTCCTAGACCACAAAATATAGTTATCAGCATGGAGTATTGTATAGAACAAATCTACGAATCTTTCGCTGGGAGTATCTATATCGAAGATCATAGGCATTCAGATAACAACAATAGAATAGGGGACGGAAAGTTATTTCTTGGAAACCTTCTTGGGAAATTGAGAATATTTGGCCCTTTCGGAAGTGACAATTTGTCGAAAGAAATGGATGAATACAAGAATAGCAATGAAATGTGTGTCGAAGGTGTCCAAATAGACCAAGAAACGAATAACAACAGTAAGAATTCAGAAAAGTCCTCTAAGGAAAAGCGGGCCTTTGAAAAGGGGAACGGGATGGACAAGTACACACATATATATATATATATTTATATATATCAGAGACCTGCAGAGGTACCATTTTAACGGCTCGGCCCAGATTAAAAAAATTTCGGCCCGGCCCGGTTTAAAAATTTTAGACCCGGCCCGAGTATTTAAAAAAAAAGAACCCCGGCCCGGCTTGGATTTTATAAAAAAAAATTTTTAGACCCGGCTCGGAATTTTTTAAAATTATATTCGACCTGGTATATACAAAAAATTCATTATTTCATATTTTATCATATTTTTCGGCGAGTATTATCATTTAATAAGCAAGTATATTAGCTAATGTTGTTAAACGGCTGGCTCGTTTTGAGCCGATTTTTAAAAACGGCTAACTCAATATTTTCGCCAGAAAAATATTGACTAGGTCTCTGATATATATATATATATATATCAATTTCTATACCATTTTCTAACGGGTAATGGAATATTTAATATATTTTTTACTGTATTAAAATACCTTATACGCCTAAAGAATAAAATATAATAAACATAACCATTTTTATTTTAGGGCACAAATCTTTTAATCATAAATATAAATATATATTTTTACGACTTTGAAGCTTCAATTAAATAATAATAATTTATGATTAAAAAATATTAAATACCCCCTTTTCCAATTTTTTTTATTTCTTATATCGAAAAAATTTTTGCTCTTGATTTATTGTACAGTGTTAATGTCTTAATTGGATTCTTATATTTTAAGAATTTTGGTTGTCTACTAACCCCAAAAATTAATTCTTAAATATATTTATTTCTTCTCTATGTTAAAGTAAGATCATATAAAATCAACTAAAGATTCAACCCGAGCCTCTTCGATTTTTTTTAAATTTTAAATGATGGTAGTATATACACTAACTAGTAAAAATATAAAATTTTAATTCTCAATTCAGCTTACTTCATGAGATATGGCCATCTTTAGAAACGCGGAAATTCCTAAAGAGACTTAATTTTAAATATCTCAAAAAGTAATTAAACTAAAGACATGATTTAAATTTAATTAACTCTAGAATAGCCATTTAATATGATATAAAATTTATTATATTAAAGATAGATCTATTACCAAAAATCGGAAATATAAAACCGGAAATGGCTATAAAATAAAAATTGCTCGTGTTTTTTCTTTCAAATTCTTTTTACCGATAGACATTATATTTCTTAATGTTTGTACAAATTCCTAGATTGAGACGAGTACTGGGCCAAAAGTTATTACAATTTAAATATATGGCTTAAATCCTATATTACACCAAATATAGGGTAATCATTTTTTTAGAAAAAGTCAGCAATATATGTGAATAATAGCATTAAAACTAAAATCTTAAAAAATCTGATTATTTTGCATTTTTTAATATTTTAAAACGCAAATAACAATTTTATAATTCTGACAAAAACAGCACTTATATATGGTATGAATAATTTTATATCAATGAAGTTAATGGAAAAAAGAACAAAGTGCATAAGAGATTAGTTTTATGTAATATAAAAGAATTATTTACCAATTTGAAATTAACAATTTGCTATCATGAGACCAAAAAACTGTATTTTAGCAGGCGGGTCTGGAACGCATACAATGTGCATCTGCACATTTCATCAAAATTTTGAATTAATTATAGTTGGTGGTAAATTATATAAGTTAACTGGAAACCAGCATAACTAGCCATTTCCTCCCTTAAAAGATTATATGCACTACATTACACAAAGTCTAAGCAATCCAGCCCAGCCTTGCTGTTACTTAAGGAAATGCCAAATGTGTCCCGGCACTTTGAAACTTAAAGAAAGACTACATTTATTGTTTGATAATAATTCCATAGATTATATATTATTTAGACAATGGTTGGCGGCAAACCATACAACCCTCGAAACGTTAACTAAGTCCTCCAGCGAATTTGTGGAATTTGATTGATTCGGAACAATCTTAAGTCATTAAAATCTAATTTGAAGGATGGGGAATATCTAATAATATCCGATTTTGCAAAGAACTACGCTTTATTCTTTTCTTGAAAGAAAGATTTGATAAGATTTTAATAATTTTTTATTTTTATGATAAAGCTGTTACCCAGTATAAAAAACAAAAAAAACTTTGTAAACCACTACAAACATTATAATGATTTTGGGATCAAGGCAAAATGGCATTTTTTTGCAACTGCACATGGCAAAACTCCTTGTGATAGATTAGGGGGAATTACTAAGAGATTGGCGGCTAGAACAAGCTTGCAAAGTCCTTGTGAAAATCATATACTAACTCATATGGATTTATATAATTATGTGAGAATTAATATTCAGGGGATTAATTACATATTTATCAGCAACATTGATTTAAGAATGGAACCAATCTCGAAAATAGATTTTTAACGGCCAAACGAATTCCCGGGACACAAAAATATCATTCATTTATTCTAATTGAAGGAAAAATGAAAGTCAAAATTTATTCTAATACATTAGATTATTTAATGTATGATATTATTTAAATAATATGTTTATCACAATATTAATTTTTCAGTGATATTCATGTAATATAAATAATTAGCTAAATAAAGTTATAAATATTTTTACATTTATTTTCTTTCTAAAAAAATAGTTAAACTTAGGTTTTAAATATGGCACACTGTCTCCTAGTGATCTGCATAGGCCTAATTTTTCTAACACAGCCCGAAAGATTTATAAAAAAATATATCAAACCCGATCCCAAACGAATTTCCTTTTTATTTGTTTCGTAAATTATTATACATTTGGTATAATTAGCATTTAAATACTACTTATATCTAAAGTATAATAACTATTGGCCCAGTACTCGTCCAAATCTAGGATTTTGTACAAATATTAAGAGGTATAATGTCTATCTGTAAAAAAAATTTGAAAGAAAAAAAAGAGCAATTTTTATCTTATAACCATTTCCGGTTTTCTATTTCTTATTTTTAGTAATAGACTTTTTTTCAATAAAATAAATTTTGTATCATATTAAAGGGCTATTCTAGAGCTATTTAATAAGATTTAAATTGTGTTTCTAGCTTAATTATTTTTTGAGATATATAAAATTAAATAGTGTATTTTGGAATTTCGCGTTTCTAAAGATGGCCATATCTCATGAAGTAAGCCGATATGAAAAGTAAAATTTTACATTTTTACTAATTAGTGTATATGTATACGTTAGCGGCAATGTAGCCGGAATTTTTTCGGCAATGTGAGGTAGTGGTAGGCAGGGTAATTTTGTTATTTCGGCAAAGTATACATTGCCGAAATAACCAGGCAATGTGTAATTTTTGTAATATTTATACATTGCCGAAATAACCAGGCAATGTGTAATTTTTGTAATATTATATTATTAATAATTTTTTCGTTATTATTAATAATTTTTTAAGATTAATATTATATTTTATATTTAAATTTGTTACAATATATTTTTTGATTGATATTTTTCTTTTTGAATCGCTAATTTTTTTTATTTTTTGTGTTATATGTTTTTTTAATAAATTTTTTTTAAATATATTTTTTTGATTGATATTTTTTTTTTATATTTTTTTTTGTGTTATATGATTTTTTAAATTAATATTTTTAAATATATATTTTTGATTGATATTTTTTTTATTTTTTTTTTTGTGTTATATGATTTTTTAAATTAATATTTTTAAATATATATTTTTGATTGATATTTTTTTTTATTTTTTTAATTTTTTGTGTTTATATGATTTTTTTTAATAAATTTTTTTGATTGATGTTTTTTAATAAATTTTTTTAAATATATTTTTTTGATTGATATTTTTTGATTGATAATTTTTAATATATTTTTTTAATAAATTTTTTTAAATATATTTTTTTGATTGATATTTTTTAATATTTATTTTAAAAATCTTCTTCTTCTTCTTCTCCGTTTTATGGCGATTTCCAGGTTTACCCGGGTAGGCCAGTTTTCCCTCTGATTTTTCTTTTCCATTTTTGACGGTCCTGAGCATCAATACTTGTAAGATTCAAGCTTCTCATATCCGCCGCTATCACATTTGTCCACGTCATCTTGGGTCTTCCTCTAGGTCTTGATCCTCCTACTTCCATCATTGTGCATCTCTTTACCCAGTCATCTCTTGTCATACGTTCCACATGCCCAAACCATCTTAGTCTATTTCGTCGCATTACCATACCAATCATTTCTATACCTAATCTTGCTCGCAATTCCTTGCTAGTTTTTCTCTCTCTCAGAGATACCCCACACATCCATCTAACCATCCTCATCTCTGTTCTTTCTAATTTGGCTTCGTGAATTGCTTTCATTGCCCATGTTTCACCGCCATAAACTAAACAACTCCTCACGCAGCTTACGTAAACTTTCCCCTTTAACTTCAGAGAAACTTTTTTATTTGTAAGAATAGACGACATCTCTCTGAACTTCTTCCAAGCTTGTCTGATCCTTGCAACAACAGCAGAATCTACACCACCATCTGCGTTTAGCATATCACCTAAATAACAAAACTTATCCACTTTTTCTAGGGTTAACCCATTGCCAATATCCAGACCACCATTTTTTAGGTTATCATTATTATGTATCCCTTTCATGCATGTTTTACAAATAAAGGTCATTCTTTCTAACATCAAACTGCCTTTTTTCCCACTACATCTTTTATGTACCCATTTCTGGCATCTGGTGCATTGGATAGAATTTCTAGCAACTCCTTTCCCACATACACCACAAGGCCACTTACCTGATTCTTCTATCTTTAGATTTTCCCCACCAATCATCACCTTTGTTTTTGATGCATTCATTTTCAGGCCCTTTGCTTCCATAGTCATCTTCCATTTACTAACTTTATCCCTCAATTCTCCCTCACTGTTTGCCATTAATACAAGGTCATCTGCATATAATATCTCCCAGGGAAGTCCTTCACGCATTTCTCTAGCCACCACATCCATTACTAAGATAAATAATAATGGACTCAGCACGGATCCTTGATGAAGTCCTACCTTCACCTCAAAGCTGTCACTATCACCATAATCC